GAAAGGAAGGAAAAGGAGGAGAGAAGCTGGAGTTACTAGAAAGGAAGGACAAAAAAAATGAAATAGAAATGAATAAACAAGCAGACTCAAAAGCAACTATATAAACAAATCAGCGCTGGGAAGGAGAGAGGAAAGGTAGGGAAGGTAGGGTGCATCGAGGGGAGGGGGGAGATACAGGGGGAAATAATCTGAAAGTTACCAGAAACATTATTTAGTTGTAAATCCCCTTGTCCTTGTCAAAGCCAGAGACCAAAAAAAAAAAAAAAAAAAAAAAAGCAAAAAAAAAAAAAACGCAGCTATATGTGTATACACATATATACGTTCGTATACACACAGACACACATATGTATTTCTCAAGTCTTTCCTAGGCAGCGGCAGCAACAGCAGCAGCAGCAGCAGAGCAGCAAGCTGTCCCCTTTGAAACCCGTGCTACTGAGCAGGCAGAGAGCAGGGAAATCGCGCTGCTGGGGGAAAAGCTGGAGAGGAAAAAAGCGTGGAACAATTGCAGAGAGAGACACACACACAGAGACACTCACGCACACACACAAAAAGCTAGTGAATAATTTTTGCTGCTATTTTTTAATAGTGGCCGCCATCATCAGCAGCAACAGAGGAGAGCAAATCGGACAGGCCCCTCTTAAGAGAGGATTTATATATAGGTAAGTGTTGGAGATTTAAACCTACCCTTTGCGCCATCAGTCTGCGCTCCAATAAACTCCTGGATGTGTCGTATATTTAATATCCCAGTCCAGCAAAGAAAGTGATTTAGAGTGAAGAAGATTCCTTTTTTTTTTTTTTTTTTTTTTTTTTTTGCAACCCACTTACAGACTTCTCCTGTCCTCCAATATGGGTAAATAATAATAATAATAACAACAATAATAACAACAACAATAATATATAAAAAACAGTCAAGAACCACGATGAGTTTCTGTGTTTTCTTCTTTTTTCTCTCTCTTTCTCTCTTTCCTTTTTCTCTCTCTCTTTTTCCTTTTTTCTTTCTCTACGGAAAAAAAAAAATAAATAAAAAAAAAAAAAGTCAAGCCCCCAAACTGAAGGTTACGATCGGCCCGTCAGCAACCCACATGTAACCAAACTGTCGTGTCTCATGGCTTTTTGCCACTCCAGCTGTCAATCAAAGCCAGGGAATGTCAAGGTAGTGAATGAATGATGGTTGATGATGATGAAGAAGAGAGGAGGAATCTTTTTAACCCCGGTTTCTTCTTCCAGTAACTCCGCGCTCGCGTTTTGCCTTTTAGGATCTCTATAGGGTTGTTGTTTGTTGGTTTTTGTTGGTTTGGTTTTTTTCTTTTTTTTTCTCTTTTTTTTTTTCTTTTTCTCTTTTTTTTTTTTTTTTTTTTTTTTAAAGTACTGTGAAGGGGGGTGGGGAAAGATGCGAAGAAAAATTGAGTAGTTTGCAAAGCCTGGACTTCCTTCCCCCTCTCTCTCTCTCTCTCCTTTTTTTTTTTTTTCCTCCTCCCGGCAGGTATTTTGTCTCCCTCTCTCCCTCGCTCTGAGATGAGTGAGTGTCAGTAAGTGTTGGCAGGTTGGCTGCTGGCTGCCTTATAGAAGAGGCTCAGTTTTGCAGCGCTGATCGGCGGGAGAATGAAGTGACGGAACCCGGAAGTAGTGGTGGCCATAGCCAGTCCTGCAGCGCGGCG